GAGGAACTGGATGGTGCCACTCTGTGTTGAGTGGAGAGTGAGGCCAGGAGCAGGCATAAGCCTATATAACATTTTTAATTCACTTGACCTAGGTCTAGCCATTGGCAACAGTGCTCTAGTGACCCCAATTGCTACACACACTTTGGAGTGAGCACTGTCTCTTTTGAGTGATGGCCTCATACTTTAGAAGGGCCCCTAATAGTGTTCATCTTGCTTAAATTGTTACCTTTAGAGACCTGACTTACTAACTTGGATGTTTCATTCTTAAAATGACTGTCTTTGAAGGGACAGAGTTCTCAAATGAAAGGAGCCTGAAGGATTGACCTGCTTCAGGATTCTGTCCTTAAGAAGTGTTCCTTTCACATCATCCACAATGAGGTGATTTTAGCCTGAAATATTTCCAGGGGAAATCATATATTCTGTATTTTTCCTGAGAGTAGCACATTGCCACATGTTGGTTTGGGCCCCACCAAGTTTGCATATGCCATAATTCAAACAGGGGCTACGCTGAGATTTCCCTTTGAATTATCTGTGAAAAAAATAAAAACACGGTAAAGCCCGAAGGGGGATGTTTTTAAATTAAAGAGACAAACTTTTAGATATCCAATGGAGAGGCAACTTAAGAAATACCCTTATCTGTTCATTAAAATAAATCTTCTATAAGGATATTTACTTGTCAACAAACAGGATTAACTCAAGAATATTTGTCTATTCTTGAAAACAATCTTAAAACTATTCTAGATTTAACTTTTCACTACTCCGGAATGGCCTCACCTCCACATTGCCTCAACTCCTTGTAATGAGTCCTTTTAAATGCCTACTCTCTAATCCTAGTTAAGCTCATTTGCTCTGGTCCCGTCCTCAGGCAGGCAGAGTGAGTTGGCCAGTGCCTTCTTTATGATACCTCTTTATACTTGAGGATGGTGATGAAACTGCCTCTTGGTTCTCTTTCACCAGCCTAAACAACCTCAACCCCATGTAGTCTTTCCTCATAGGGCCCGTTTTCTAATGCTTTAATCATTTTTTGCTGCTCTTTTCTGGATCTTCTCCAATTGCTTTGTAAGTGTTTTTACAACATAACCTGATGAGCAAGCCTAATCTAGGATTTGGCTTTCACTAAATATTTAATAAATGACTTAGAAATTAATGAAGGTGGGTCAGTGTAGGGGCAAGAGCACTGGACTAGGAGTCAGAAGACCTGAGTTTGTCCCTGCTTTGCCACTTACTAGGATTGAGTGGAGCACCACATTTGGACAAATCATCGGAGTGTCTCTAAGTGTCCATTTATCATCTGTTAATTTGGGATAAACACATCTGCCCTGCCTGCCTCCCATAGTGAGGCTCAAATGAGATAATGTATGCAAAAACACATCATTTAGCACCAAAGCACTACCCAAACACTATGTGTCAGACATCTTCTAAAAGCTTTGCCTATATTAGGTCATTAACGGACAGTTACCATCCCCATTTTACAACCAGGAAATGGGGGCACAGAGAGTTGAGTAACTTGCCCCAGGTCACACAGCTAGTGACAGAATCCACACCGACTGGCTCCAAAGTCCAGGTTCTGAAATTCTCCGCTCTGCTGCCTCTCCAAATAAGTTTTAAATGTTCAACAGAGCCATATCATGTTATGGGGCCTGACTTTCAAAAGCAGTCCACAGATACATGCTACGGGGGTGGAGGATCTATTCTGTCACGAATAGGTAGGTCCACGAGAGGCAACCTTTTCAAAAGTGAATGTTTAGATTGGTCATTGCATGAAGGCAGCTGTCCACCAACGGGAGGGCCTCATGAACAGAATACAGTAATAGGAATGCTGTATCAGGTCGGGTCAGTGGTTCATTCAGCCTAGTACACCTAAATCTTCCTATACAAAGTGCTCTTCATTTTTAGATTAAAAATCTACCGTTTCTAAATATTCTCTGTGAACCCTGACCATCTTTCATGGTTTCTTTCATCTGTCTCTAGCTCTTTTTTCTATGTTAATTCTTAGAACTGTAAGTTTGGAATGCTTTCCTCAGAGTTGAACTGTTAAAGAGAGATATTAGTACCTCCTTTGAGTCTTTTTTTTTCTGCTGTAGTCCGAGAGTTGGAAAGAGTTCAAAAAAGAGCTTTGGAGAGAAATGTTAGAAGAATTCGTATTTACCCTCTAAGTGTTTGAACATTCGCAGGGAAATTAGAACCTATATCATGAAATGGGGAGGTTATGCTATATAACACTGTATTGAAGACCTGTTTATATTTTAAAAATCGTACCATATTGATGTCTTTTCATTCACACCCATGGGATATAGAGTACAATATGAACTTTATGCCAAAATCAAATCTGCAGGGAATAGCGTTATAATGGTGTAACAGGCTCTTCTACCCCAGACAGTGGCATGAAGTATCATTTTGTGGGAGACTATAGAAGTTTCTTTTTATGAAAAAACCTCAGTCAAAGTTGAAAACACCTTTGGAGGATAGGGGCGTCTTTTATAAGAACATGATACTGTTTGAATTATAAATGCCATCATTCTAACCAGGATCTGTATAGTGAATTAGGATAAATTTGTCAAAAGAATGGTTAGGAACCAACGAGAAAAGTGACATCTCTGTATCTTAGCATTCAATTCATTTTTTTCAAATGTTTCCTCTAAAGAAACAGCATGTTGAATTTGTTGCTTAATTTAAATAATTTGTTTAATGAGAAATCTATTTTTATATATAAAAAAATTATGGCAAATTCATGATATCATCAGAATAGGTTTGAGCAGAGAGCCACTATCTTAAACCTTTAGAAAACGTGTGCTTTAATAATCTTATCATGTGGCGGCAGGCACTTTTTTGCCTCTCGATGGAAGCATTGCAAAATCACAGTGAAACTTACTGAAAATGTGCTGGTTCAATATTCATTCATTCATCCGTCCATCCATTCATCCACCCATCCGTCAAACACTACGTGCCAGGTACTTTCTTGGACACTGGAGATATAACTGTGAACAAGACAAACGTGGCCCCTACCTCATAGTACTTATGGGCTAGGAGAAATTCCTTAAATGGCAGAGTAAACAATCATGAGTTGGTAGTTCTATAACAATTCTTTGAAAGAGGGAGAAAAAATAAGTGAAATGAACTCTTTAGCCTTACCTGGATGTTGCTAAAACTTTTCTTTGAACAATGTTTCCTGAAAAATTGTATGTATTTTGAGGGATACTGTGAATGTACATATAGAAGAAAGGAAGATAAAAAGTGATACATGAAAAGAGAGAATGGGCCTTTTGAATAATGTTAGTTTAGTTTTCCTGAAAGCGTTAGGTAATAATGACTATTTTTTTTTTTTCTATAGCAGTTTATGTCTCTCGGAGCAATTATACCAATCATGTGAGATAGAGCAAGTTTTATTTTCCCCATGATGTAGATGAGAAAACTGAAGCATAGGTATTTTAATTGCCCAAGACCCCATAGCTACATAAAATTCAGATCTCTACCCACTGCGTTTTCTATTACATTATGCTGAAAAATCCCAGCCTCCAGTGTAAGACCCTATAAAACCCAGATGACTTAACCAAATGTGACATACTCAAGAAGCCAAAGTTCCTGATAACAGAAGAAGGAAAACAAAGTACAACAAGGAGGACGTTCCTGCACTTTAGGCTATTAAGTAGGTCACCCACTAAAAGGCTATTTTGGTATACAATTTTAGAGGGCATGTAGTACATACACCAGAATCACTGACCTGATTCTTCACTTTCAGGATCTAAGAAAATCAAAGGTTTTTTTTTTTTTTTTTTAGAAGGGAGGGGTGGATCATTTGGGTAGTTCACGAGAACGTTAGTTGGGAAATTTGATTTAGCCAGGCTATGCTCTAGATTTCCTGTGAGATGTGATTTCTCTAGAGGTGATGCCTTTCTCAGGAAGGGGACTGCTTTGTATCTCCACGATGCAGGCTCAGCGATTTCTCTCTTCCTTCCTCTCTTTTTTTCTCCCTCCCTTTTCCCCTCCTTCTTTCCCCTCCTCTTCCCTTCCCTTCCCTATTTTTTTTTTTTTGCATTCTCTTCTTATGGGGGCATATCTGACAAATTGTTAATATTTAATTTGCTATAAAAACAGCTCTCCCAGGCAATGGCTGCTCACTATAATTTCAATCTCCAAAGCTGTTTTGGCCCCCAGGTACACTGGGATCGAATTAGAATGGAAATGTTTCCCCTACAGTTTTGTTTATAGCAGCATAGGCACTCTGTTATTAACTGGAAAATTGAGACTTCTAAGGAAAATAATAAACTTTCACCGCATTTCAATTTGACTCTTTATCCAAACAGAGTATCCATCTGGCTTAGGGTGAAACATTTCGTCTAATATTTTTTAGTCTTAAATTTAAATATCCGAGCTTAGGAACGAATATATTTGGGCCCATTGAATTGTATTTTTCCTTCAGTCTAATTCTTTTTCAATTTGTTCACATTTTAAAAGCCCTAAACACTTTTTTTTTTCTCATATGCCATCGTACTTACAAAAGGGTCTAAATTACGTATACACATTCTGTCTCTCTCTGGAACCGGAGGGCTGTTCTGCAAAAATATCCACAAATTCGAACCTAGGGAAGATTGCCTTGACACTCTGCAAGTACGCGCCTGACACAAAACCCTTTCCTTCTGCCCTGCCTCATCCCTTGTCTGGTCGGTGCTGGGAGGAAGGTATAGAAAAGGAAGGGAATTACTTTGAAGCAATCAGTGATCTATGAAACGGAGGTGGGGAAGGGTGTGTTTATCTGATAGTTAGCATTAAATTGCAGAGACTTCCAGATTAATCATGGTATGCAATTTTCAACAGCTTAGATTGTGTTTTTTTTTTTTTTTTTCCCTGCAGCCACTGGGGAAGAAAAAAGATTAGAGAGACTATCAAAAACTGTTGGCCCATCTAGTCTGTTGGCTACTTAATTTATTAGCAGATACGGGAGCTGCCTGAGGTTGATGATTTAACATGCTGGCTGGGGCTGGAATAAATCTCAAACGTACCTGTTCCAAAATTGTGTTAATCCTTTCGACTTCGCAGTCAATCAGGTATCGCTTTTCCTGCCTCCTGTCCATTTCTTCAATGATGCGCCGGAATTCTTGGACGTCTTTTATGTTTCCCACAGACCTGGCTGTCACTTGCCAGTTGTTTTGCACTGCTGCTTCCATAATCGCTTGGAGAATGGAAAATCCTGGAAGAAGGAAGAACAGCGACGATGAGGTTTTTCTTTTTAAACTCTTCCTGTAGGTATTAAAGGTTCTACGGTGTTTTTATTACAGTCCGTTGGGTCCCTTTGAATCTTATCCCTGTGGAAAGCAGGCTTACTCATGACCCCAGACTTAACCATCCAGATAGTCGTCATCTCTAATTTTTTTAAGATTTTATTTATTTATTTATTTGAGAAAGGAAGGAGGGGCAGAGGGAGAGGGAGAAGCAGACTTCCTGCTGAGCAGGGAGCCCGATGTAGGGCTCAATCCCAGGACCCCGGAATCATGACCTGAGCCCAAGGCAGACACTTAACCGACTGAGCCACCTAGGCACCTTCTATCTTGCTTTAAAGGAAGATTCTACAAACCAGGCTGGGTGTTCAATCAAGCCCAGATGCAAGCAATCACAGCTGAATTATATAGTACCTAACCGTTTTGATTGACATGCATTATCAAAACATCTATGGAATGAATGCCAAAGCCTTTTCCTTGTTTCTGGCCTCAGTGTTTCCTATTGCAGCTCACGTCTTTCATCTTCCACTAAACATTGTTTGGAACGAGACATAGCGTCAGTAGAGATAGAACTTTATAACATGGGTGATTCTTACATGGATATGACTATCCAACAAGATAAATTATGTCTCCCAAGTAAAAGAACTAAGAAAACCTGACAAAGACAGTTTCTAACAAAGATATCATACTGGTCCTTTGATCCCATCATTATGAAAAAGTTCAATCATGTTAAGTCTTCCTCAGTTCTTCCCCTTTTTAAATTAAATTTACCAGGGATTCTTGGTTCCTTTTTAGTTTATTTACATCTGACAACTATTAGCTACTAACACCCTGGATCTATGCTGAATGGGAAAGACAGAAAAGATGTGATACTTGAGTTCTGTGTAACCCTTTTGGAGGTAGGGTTTGAGAAGTTGGGAAGAGCAGTATATCTTAAAGTATGAGCCACAGAATAGCACAGGGTTTTCTATGCACTGGTCTTTTCAAGTACTTACGTCTCTAGTATTATATCATGTCTATATTTTTGCTTCTGGTAGGAATCTGTAATCTGAGTATAATTTCATCAAGTACGGACATCATTTTATTGGGAGCTGGTCAAAAGCAGCTCCCTTCTTCCCATAAATTTAAATTGTTTTCCATTTATATTTAGGCAATAACTAATGGAAATGGGTAATGGGAATGATTTGCAAAGCCAGAATGATCTGCGGCATGACCATTTGGCCACTGGAGCAGTAGAGGACAGAGGAAGATCATGGTGCCCTTTGAACACATTCCAGGACCCGTCCTGTAGTGTAAGCAAGCTACGGTTGGGAATCTTCATCACTACACTATAGAAAATGTATTGACATTTGGAGAGCACGTGTCAGGGAGATGGCAGCAGTGACTCAGCCGGTCATTATGACTCCTTTGTGTGCTGGGTGTATGCAGGAAGAAGATCGCAAATGAGACCCAAGCACTTGGTAATTTCCAAATGAGCAATTTCAGCATAGGAGCTCAAAATTACAGATCAGAGTAAATTACCATTGCTTTAAATGTTAATTCTTACTCTTTTTAAACCAACCACGCATATTTATTTCTCAGATTTACATTTTCGTGTGGGTTTTCTGTGTGCTCTCTGCTTCAGTGGGAGTTGAGGGCACACGGTGGGCCAAAGCACGGGATTAAGAAATAAACAGGAAGAAGGAGATTAAAGTATTTGAAAATCTTTCTTAAGCAGTGTACAATAAGGTCTCATTATTTTGAATCCTACTAATTAAAAATTTATGAAATTCAGCAAGGACTAGTTTGAATTTTACTTCTGTACTATTTATGAAGAATGTATTATTGGCTGAATAATAATGGAAAGGAAATGACATCGGGGAGGCTCTGATATGTTTAAAAGACCCTTTAACAAAAGACAATTTTTTTTGTGTATTGAGTCAAAATCTACATTTTTTTAAAATGATTTTATCTATTTGAAAGAGAGAGAGAGAGAGATAGCAAGAGAGAACACGAGCAGAGAGGAGAGGGAGAAGCAGGCTCCCTGCTAAGCTAGGAGCCTGATGCGGGACTTGATCCCAGGACCCCAGGATCATGACCTGAGCCGAAGGCAGATGCTTAAATGACTGAGCTACTCAGGCACCCCGTCAAAATCTATATTCTTATCATTTCTATTTGCTAGTGCTATTCCACCACTTGGGGTGACGGACAAGTTTAATCTCTTTTCTGTATGACAGTCCACATTTTTTCATGACAGTTAACATATCTCCCCTTATTTTTCTTTTCTTCAGACTAAAGATGTCCCAATACTACAACAGTTACTTTTATAACATGATGATAATTTCCCTCACTGTTCTGTCTCTCTCTTATGGATATTTGTCAATATTTTATTGACCTGGATAAATCAGATGTGATCTGACCAGTGCGGATGACAATGGGATTATTGCCCGCTTTGATTTGGGCTGTTATTTTGGCAGCCTAGGGTTGCTAATATTTTTATTTATTTATTTAAAAAGATTTTTTAAGGATTTTATTTATTTATTTGAGAGAGAGAGAGCACCAGCCAGAGAGCACAAGCAGGGGGAGTGGGAGAGGGAGAAGCAGGCTCCCCGCTGAGCAGGGAGCCCGATGTGGGACTCAATCCCAGGACCCTGTGATCATGACCTGAGCTGAAGGCAGACGCTCAACCGACTGAGCCAGCCAGGTGCCCCAGGATTGCTAATATTTTTAAATTGCCACATTATACTGTTAATTGACACCACCCTTGGATTCAACTAAAGCATGTCGGTTCTCTCCAGAAAAGCTTTGCTATGTAATGACTCACCATGTATCAAAATTTGTTCCATTCCAACCTGCTTCTGTCTCCCTCTCTTTAATCGCTCACCCCATACCAGTCTGTACTTCTTCCCCATTTTTACATTAGCTCAAATCTGGAAGATGGTTTTGCACATTTACCCAGTACTCTCACTGTTACCTGCTCAAGGCAACTATACCTGATGTGTCTCTTTTTCTGCTACCTATAGACCTTTGTGGATGACTCTCCTCCCCCATGAAGCTTCCCTAACTGACCTCTCATTCATTTCTCCAGAGACGAGTAGACTTAAATGCAAGGGAAATCAGTTCCAAACAATAAAGGAGCTGGTTGGAAGAACTGTATGACAGGCGTTTAAAAATTCCAAATAAAACTGGATAAATAAATTCTAGTAGAGACGCTTGGAATGCTATGCTGCTGTAAAAAAGATGGCCCAATCTCTAGATAATAGAAGAAAGGACTTCTGCCAAAATTTTATGGAGAAAAGAAGCTGAGAATAGCACTTACACTATAATTCTATTTTTGTAAAGAAAAGCCCCACCTATTTGTATATGTGTCGAAAGAATGCAAAGGAGGTGGGAGTGGTTATCTCTGAGGTTTAGGATTCCCAAGAACTTCTACTTGCACCACCCCTTATTTACGGAATGTTGGACTATTTTACGAGAAGCAGGTATTATTTTCTGTAAGTACAAAAACAATAAAGATGAAAAAATATGACTCATGCTGGCCTCTCCGAGCATAAGCTGCTGGAAGACACAGGTGACAGGTGAGCGCAGCTTTGTGCGCTGCCCGCGGCCGTCAATGAGCGGCCTCTTAATAAACACTGATTTTATAGATCTTTGTGTACTTTTGGTCTTTGAATCATGTGAGTGTCTTACCTATTCAAAAATTGGGAAAGCCCCTGAGTTTTTAATGAGCTGGCCTCTGGGGCCTCCTGAGCGATGAGCCTTGCTCGTAAGTCAGCACTGTGGCTGCATAGGGCGGGGTCTTCCACTTGCAGAGTCTCCAGGTGGCTGCCAGAGCACATGGCCACGTACTTGACAGCCCTGGGGGCCATGATCACCTCAATTTAGTACATATCCATGAGTAACCCCCCCAAGCTCTTATTTGTTTTTGTACCTAATTTATGACGGTTTGACTGTTCCCCGTTGCAGCTGCCCGAAGAGAGTAACGAGTTTGAGGGTGGGGAAAAAAAAAAAAGTTCGTCTCTGGAGGCAGAGCCAAGGCAGGCGTTGGTGCTTGTAGGAGGTGAGGTGCTTAACAAAGCACCTTTGTAAAAATAAGCCTGCTGTTTTAGCAGCTTTAGAATTGTCCTCCACTCTGTGTGAGCTTTAGCATGCCCAACTGAAAGCTACTTCCGTTTGAGCAGCAAATTCTCTCATCTTGATTCCAGACCCCTGTTGCTGTCCACCTTCTTTTTCTTCCTCATTTTATTTTTTAAAAAGGATTTTATTTATTTATTTGAGAGAGAGAGAGAGAGAATGAGTGATGGGGAGAAGGAGAGGGAGAGGGAAAGGGAGAGAGAGAGAGAGAAGCAAACTTTCCACTGAACAGGGAGCCCGATGCGGGCCTCGATCCCAGGACCCTGGGATCATGACCTGAGCTGAAGGCAGACGCTTAACGACTGAGCCACCCAGGCGCCCCTTCTTCCTCGTTTTAAAGACTGGGAGTTACCACATAGGTAACCGGGCGAATGATGGATTGTCGTCTGCCTTCAACCAAGATAATGCAGGAGCAGGACAGCAGAGGCACAGCTAGGTGACTATGGATGAAGAACCGGGCCCCACCTATGACCAGCTCAATCCTACTGGACTGGTCACTGGGCTACTCTTGCTAAACAAGGAAGCCATTGTGGGAAAGGCGAGTGTAGGGATGCTGTGCTGTACCACCAGATACCCCTTCAGCACCGAAGGGCTTATTCCTTCAGCTTCTGGAAAGGTTGTTGGCTGAAGAAAGCTGCCTAGCTTCAAGTCATGCCCCCGACCCAGAACAGCCTGCATCCAGTGACCGCTTGTTACAGGGTATAAAGGCCCAACCCCTTCTCCCCAGATGGGATAACTCTAAAGGGCCCTCCCAACTTCAGAGCTCCCTGAAGGGTAGGCGGAGGCCTTGTTAGGACAGCACCACAGCCCAGCTCCTCCTTCTGCCCAAACCAGCTTCCTTCTTTTTCTTCCACAAGTG